AAACATTCCATATGTATAAAATAAAGCCAAATGAGGGAGAGAACAATTCATCCACCTACAGAAGGGAGAGCTATAAAAGCAACATCAAATATGCAGTACCTCAACCATGAAATTTTAAATTCCCATCCAAATTAAGTGAATCCAGTCTCTTGGTTTACAGACTTTACCCAAAAAAGAAAGTAATGCTAATTTGTAAACTTCAAAGTAAATTAAAGGCTTTTTTAAAGAAAACATTTTTTTTTAAGTGGGGCCCTGCACAGACATAATGGTTGAAGCCTTCCAAATGTCTTTGAAACTCTCCAAACAGGAAGCCTGCAGATGTGCACATTCAAAGAAACACTTTAAAAATGATCCTCAAAGACTGAGGAATCTCTGAAATGCTTTCTGAAATGTCTGTGCTTTATGGAGTATTGCTTGGTCCTCCAATAACCCACAGTTCTCTGCTTCAGGCTGTGTTGTTCAAGTATCAGAACTTGAAGGACTAGGTGTTCCAGAGAGTGAGGCAGACAGCCAGTGAGCACTATGGTTGTTAGGGCTTTTCAGGCATCACAGTGGCATGCATGAAATCCATCTCTCCAGCCCCTAGGAGGGAAGGATGCCTCTGCTTCTTGGCCTCTGGAAGCAGAAGAGTCTGGAAGTGGAGTGTTCATTGGCTGTCTGCCCATTCTACCCCCTCCATCCCCCACCCCTTTTTTTTAAATTTTTTTTTAAATTTTCCTTTTACCCATTATAGGATAAACTTGTATTAGAAACTGGTTTTTAAGTATCTCTACTTTTGTCTCAAATAGCAATGTGCTGGGTCTATCTGTGAGAAGCATGGCTTGGAAGAATGTACCTGTGCTAGTTCAGATGGGAAGGATGATAAAGAATTATGCCATGTGTGCTGCATGAATAAAAGTAAGATTTACCTTAAGTCTAGATATAAATACAGGAGTAAATCTCAGGATTTTTCGCAATAAAGTCTGATTTTTTAAATTTGATTTGAAAACTTAAATCTTGGCAGAAGTTTTAAGTGAATAAGAATGGATATGAGTGGGAAGAGAAATAATCTTTGGTACACAGTTTTTTCCAAAAAGATGCAGTTTTCAGATACAGATATATAAAACACATCTGTGTTTATTATAAATATACAGAGGATGAGATTCTCCCACAAGGACAGCTAGTGGACCTTAAAAGTAAAATACATATTAGACGGGCCATTGGTTTGCCTTTTTATCTGCTTATTTTTCAAAGTGTACTTTCATATATATTTAAATAGGTTTTTAAATATATGTAGTGTCCTTTGTTCATTAGTTCTCAAAGTATTTTTAATAATATCCACTCTTCCATTATTTTAATTTGTTCAGTGAAGCCGATGACTTGTGCAAGTACCGGGTCTGTCGAGTGGGAGGCGTTTTTCCATCACAAAACTATTACTCTCCAACCTGGATCCCCCTGCAATGATTTCAAAGGCTACTGTGATGTATTTATGAGGTGTCGGTTAGTAGATGCTGATGGCCCGCTAGCCAGATTGAAGAAAGCAATCTTTAATCCAGAGCTGTATGAAAATATTGCAGAATGGATTGTGGTAAGTTCCTTAATGGTTTGGAATCTTCCGTGTTTACATTTAATAATTAGTACTTGTGACCAATGATGAACATTCTGATATATCTGTAATTAATTCAATGTATAGTGCACTCTGCCTGCTCTTGTATTTGCATCATTATGTTCATGGAACAAGTAGTAAGCTTAGCACAGGGGTGGGCAAAATGTGGCCAGTGGGCTGGATGCAGCCCGCCAGGCCATTCTATCCGGCCCACAGGGCCCCTAAAAAATTTAGAAAATGTAATATTTTTCTTCCCCTGGCTGCCTGACATGCGGCCCTTGATGACTTGTCAAAACTCAGTAAGCGGCAA